ATTCTGAGAATGTAATCTTCCCAGCACCGAATCCAGAGCATACATCTTATTATTATTATTCTTTCCCTGCCTCTTTGTCTGATAGTTGCATGGACTCTGAAGATTTCTCCCTCACAGCCTCTTCTCCAAAACCTTGCCTGGAAAATCTTCTGCAGAAATCTCAGCTTGGATTGCCAGTGGAAGCTTCATATGCTCCGAAACACGACTTCTTGGATGGAAGGGTTGAGATGAAGTTGACATCTACCATGCCCCGAGTTCAGCAAGTGAAATCATTCCCGGTGGTGCCCCCGAAGCCTCAATTCGCTAAGGTGCCTCCTGCCTTAAAGCCAGTGATTCCCAGCAAGGAACGTCTCGCCGCTGTTCCGCTGAAGACCTGTGAGAACGGGACCAAGCAGGAATTCAACCAAAGCTCTTTGAAAAGGCCTTTCCACCTGACCAGCTCTGACCAGACCAAAAACAGCAACCAAAAGGCAGAACATTCTCCAGCATCTCCTAGCCTGTCCAGCTCTTCTGAGAATTGTTACGGCCATTCAGAGGTCCTTCCAAAGCAACGCAACTCCTTGCCTGTGAGCTTGGATATGTTCAGCAAGGACCATAAGAACATGGAGGACATCACCCCAAAGCCGCCTCCGGTTTCACAGGACAAATGCTTTTCGTGGTCCAAGAGTGGAGAAACGGGAGGCGGCAGCCTTCATTTCACGAAGGGCAGTTTGGAGAAACAGAACAGCAGCCAACACGACGAAGGGAAGGGACATCTCTACGGAGCAGAGAGGTCCACCAAAGAGGCCTTGGAGAGCGGCACTCCTCAGAAGCATCGCTGGACCAACTGGCACTATAGTGGAAGCATGTCGTTCGATGAGGCTGTGGCCCTCGCCAAGGACAAGCACGTGCCCCAGGCACCCATGCGGAGAATGCAAACCTATTCCTACGGTGACGTGGACGGTTCACACGGAGCATCCAAAACGGAGAAGACTTCTACTCCCCACAAGCCTGTTCTGAGGTCTCCTCAAAGGCCGCTGAGTTGCATGAGCCCAGCTGGGCCTTCGGAAGCTCACCTTTCGGGAAAGACGCCTTGTTCTCCAGGGCTGCCTGACAACATCCCCAAAGGTGTGCCCACCCCGAGACTGGAAGGCTCCAATTCTTACTCTCAGGACTTCCCTCCGAGGAGCAGAGTGAGCTTATCCAAGATAGGACGGCGTTTGTCCGTGTCTGATGAAGCATGCTTTGGATTGTCCCATGAGCGGAGATGACTGGTTGGCCCCAACTAGTCCTACCGTGGGGCCACTTTGGGCCACCCTGAATTGGTGGGGGCTCCCACCATGATATACTCCTTAGAACCTGAAGATCTTGGCTCAAATCAAGGCAGAGATCTGTCTAACTCAGCCTTTCTCAAGCTGGGGTCCAAACAGTGTCTCTTTCTAAACCAGGGATCTCCAACCTTGGCAATTTTAAGACTTGTGGACTTCTACTCCCAGAATTTTGTTCTAAGCAAACAAAAATACTATGATAATAATGGTTCAAAGGAAAAGAGAATACAAAGGTCAAATTTATCTTTTGCTGGTTTTTAAAATATTCACAAATCCTGATATATAAAGAGCATTATAAAGAGCCCAGACAGGTTCTTCCCATTTAGTGACTATCTTGTTTACTGACCATTTGCAATAACAAGAAGTAACAGGTGGAAATTTATCAAAGAAACAGCTTAGAACTAAGGAAGAATTTCCTGAGAATGAGGACAATTAATCAGTGGAACGGCTTCCCTCCAGAAGTTGTGGGAGCTTCATCCCTGGAGGCTTTTAGAAGAGACTGGAACTGGACAGCCATTCCAGAAGGATGGTATGGGGTCTCCTGAGTGTACAGAGGGGATTGGAGTACAAGATCTCTGAGATCCCTCCCAGCCCTACGATTCTATGATTCTAAGTTGCTTTGCATTGATGACTTTTATTGAAAAGCAGAAGAATGCTGAAGTCAGATCACAAGCACAGTTGAAGATTCACGTAGTGACCGTTGCATTTAATGACTGAGTTGTGGGCCCCAATTGTGATCACTAAACAAGGGCTACCTGCATATAATTTCAAATTCAGATGGGCCGAGGGGAGGGGAGAGATTAAGGCCCAGAAAGTGTGCATCCTAATCAAAACAACTGCAAGGAGAAAAAATGCCCAAGAAATTCTTTTTTCCTCCTTTGATGAGAAAGTAGTTCAAATGCTTCACAGACTGCAGGTATCTGTGACACAAAGGTCTCCAGCATCAGACTGGGAAAAGAAATTTCCTTTCCAAGTGTTGGAAGGATCCAACATTTCTGACTCTTTTGTTTTCTGTTTTGGGGGATAAACCAGTCTTTTTTGTTTATGCAAAACAAGTTGAGCAGTGACTGGGTTCTCATCACCCAAGGCCCCAGATAAACTGTCTCATGGCACAATGTGATCATGTGATACACAAAATATATTAAGAGCTGAGCCACAATGAGCCAAGTAGCATAAACTCAAGTTATGTTCAACACGTCTCGTTTAAATACAGCGAAGTTCTTAAAATATTTTTTAAAACAGGAAAGAAAACAGTTATGAAATCTTGCTGTCGAATTTCAGTGTTATGAAACTGATTAGGTTTTGGGATGCAAAGATAAACCACATTTGTGCTGTAATAGAGCAGTATTTTTCAAACATGTCAACTTTGAGAATGGATGGATTTCAACTCCCAGAATTCCCTAGCCATCATGCTTTAAGATGCATGGACTTCAACTTGCAGAATTCTGGGAGTTGAAGTCCAATATCTTAATGTTCTCAATGTTAGAAACACTGTCTGTTGTATAGATCCAATGTGGTTTAAATGTGGCTTTGGCAGTTTATTTGATTGCAATGTACTATATTTAAAATAGAAAAGAGCATGGATTGCACATATCAAGACACCTATTTGAGTGGAAATTAAGTGTGTAGTCTAAAAGGCTCGAATATCTTGTTATGAAGCAAGAGAACTGTCTGGCAAAAAGTTGGGAGTCTGATTGCTCCTCTTGCAAGTTATTAGTTATTAAAGTTATTGACTTTCAAGAAGAGACTGGAACTGCCGTCTGTCAGAAATGGTGGTCTCCTGCTTGGGCAGGGGGTTGGACTAGATGACCTACGAGATCCCTTCCAACTCTGCTATTCTGTTACTCTAAAGATCTGACAGCATAACTCACGTATATTGGGTGCATATTTCTTTGCGTTATTTTCATGTAGACAGATACAAGAATGGTAATCTGTGTGCTTAGACAAACTACAAACAGATCCTCTCATGTCCTGTTAAGAGCTTTAAAACTGGAAACTAAATGTCTGTGGAAATTCTCAGTCATCCAGATCATGGTTTTCCAAAAGCCAACTGGACTTCTTTGGTTTTCTTCCTTTGAAAACATTTCACTTCTCATCTAAGAAGCCGAAGAAAGCAAAACATTTTCAGTAATTGGAATGTTTGATTACGTTTATTTTACACATTTATTACACGGACGATCCAGTCCAAACTGGCAGCAGCCCACCAGTGGGTAGAGGGCTAATCCTATTATGTTCTGAGGGTGAAGGTCTTTTGTGTTGTAGATAAGCTGGCCCAGCCTTTTGCCTTGTAGATAGGTTGGCAGCAGAGGTGGTATTCAGTTGATTCTTTTAATATTTCCTAGGATATTTCATTCTTCTAGGAGAAGGGTGGGTGCTAACTTTGTACAGCAGTTAAACTAATTCTATTGATTCCATCCTTATGCCCCACTAATTCTACCTTGTTCTATTGTTATTATGTCCCTTCAACCAGGGGTGGGATATGACAGGGTTAACTACTGGTTAGGGATTTACTAGCTTCCCTGCACACTGTGAGCCCCGCGCCTGTAAATCGTCATCAGCATGCTGTGTGCAGAGAAGCAGCCCTCTTTTAACTGCAGCTGTGCCTCGTTTGGCAGCTGAAGTTGAAAAATCAGGAAATAAAGATCAGGTAAGAGCCCAGGTAGGCGTGTAGGCAAAAACATCAGCAGACATAGAACTGGTTCTATGTCTGCTGCTCTTCAGAGCTACCGGTTCTTCAGAGGTGCACAGAACCGGTAGAAACCCACCCCTGCCTTCAACAGATAAAATTATGTGTGTATTACAACTCCTAAAATCCATGCCTGAGAGCAGTATTTTTCAAACTTGGCAACTTTGAAACGAGCGGCTTCAACTCCCAGAATTCCCGTCATCATGCTTTAAAATACATGGACTTCCCAACATTCCCCAGCCAACATTGCTTGCTGGGGAATTCTGGGAATAGAAGTGACTGAGATTTATAAGCTCTGTTTTAGAATGACTAGGCTTGAAAGCCCATAATTCCCACTGAGATGGGGGGGGGATGCTGGGGTGGTGGTGGGGGAACTATGGGGGTTGTAATCTGGAGTTGCATCCACCCACAGGCAGAAGGAATGATACTTCTAATTTCCAGGGACAATTGCAGAATAATGTCCACAATTGGCAATGTAAAGACTAGCAGCACGCCGCTGGAGTTTTTACTTGGGCGCCTTCACAAAGAAAGGCGACCCCAAAACTGCCCACTGGATGAAGTAGATTGACCGGAAGTGGGCAACTAAAGGCAGAAGCCAACGCCCTTTTCCAACATGGCGCCCAAGCAGTGCATATATATTGAACGGCTCCCTAGGAGGGCGCTAACTGGAAGTTACGTGTGCGCTTCCGCCTTCGTTTCCAAAGCGCTATGTCTCTCATTGTACGAGATGCAAAATCTTTAAAAGCACCACTCATAGACCCAGGACGCTCCTTCCCCAAGCGCCCTCTCGCCTGGCCGCCCTTTCAAAGTCAAGGTGGAGGCGCCGAGGCCTACCTCTCCCTCGTTCTCTCTCAATCTAACTCCTCAAAAATGGCCGCCACCGGAAGCGCCGACCATCCCAGCGCCTAGCTTCCGGCGCCCGGTGAGGAGAGGCGGCCGTGGGTGGGGCTTGCCTGTTGGGTGGCTTCCGCTCCCCCGTCGGGCCCCGCTGGCGGTGAGGGAAGAAGGCGGAAGTTGCGGGGAGAGTCGGGCGTTCGCGGTGCGCGCATGCGCCGATCTTCATGGAGAGCCGAGGGGCTCCGAAGGACGGAGGGCGGCCCAGGTGAGGACGGCGCGCCCCCAGGCGAGGCGGGGCGGGGTTCGTGGGTGCCCCCGGTGGCCTTCCGCTTCCCTCAGCAACCCGACTCTTTGTCCGGAGGTCCCCGCGGCCTTTCCCGGGTTGGCTCTTCGGGGCGGCCTTCCCAAGGCAAGGAGGCGAAGGCCGCGCCCACCCCTCAAGGAGACAAGGAGGGGGTGAGGCTGGGGTGTCCCACCCCGGGCTTGGGGTCCCCATTGAGGCCCGGCGGGGGCGATGGGGAAGCTGCTGCCCACCCGGGGCTTGCTTAGAAGACAGAACCACGAAAGGAACCTTGGAGGTCATCTAGTCGGAGCCCCCCCCCCCCCGTGCTGCCCCCCCCCCCCCGGGGGGGTTTTGGGGGGGGCGCTCGGGGCGTCCTGGGGGGTTGGGGGCACCGCCAGCCAGATGTCCAGGCTGGATCTGGCTGGCCCTTTTGGTCCACCTCTGGAGCCCCCTACCGGGGGGGGGGGGGGCTGTTAGATGGGGTCAAAGGTCACTGTCCCAGGATGAAAGCCCTTCCACCCAAGCTGCCCTTTTGTCATTGGACAAATGGAGATTCTGTCAATATTGATCGTCAGTCAGCCAGATGTTCAGGCTGGGTTTGGCCTTTTTGTCTACCTGTATCAAGTCATTACTGTTGTTATTAATATTGTAATTATTACAATTAATATCACTATTATAATTATTACCAGTCAGTGATATTTGTGATGCATTTTTAAATGTTCAGTTGATGTTTATTAATGAATAAAAGAGATCATCATCATCGCACAGTCAGCCAGATGTTCAGGCTGGGTTGGGCCCTTTTGGTCCATCCCTGGAGCCCCCTCCCAAGGGGCAGATGGGCATGTTTGATGGGGTCAAAGGTCATCATCCCAGGATGAAAGCCCTTCCAAGCCAAGCTGCCCTTTTGTAATTGATGGATGGAGATTCTGTCAATGTTATTATTATCATTGATGCGATGGCACAGCCAGCCAGATGTTCAGGCTGGGTTTGGCAATTTTGTCTACCTATATCAAGTCATGACTGTTATCATTATTAATATTGTAATTAATATAATTATAATAATATCAGTCAGTGATATTTGTGATGCATTTTTAAATGTTCAGTTGACTTGAGTTCCATGTTTAGTGAATAAAAGAGATAACTATGATCATTGCACAGTTCGCCAGATATTTAGGCTGGGTTTGGCATTTTTGTCTACCTATTGAGTCCTTCCCAAGAACCTGGGAGAGGCAGATGTGGATGTTTGATGGGGTTAAAAGTCTCATCGCAGGACAGGAGCTTATCCTTGTTATTGTGGATGGTTGCGTGGCCAGATGTTCAAGCTGGATTTGGCATTGGTGTCTGCCTCTTGAGTGCTTCCCGAGGACCTGGAAGAGGCAGATGGTGTTAAGAGGTCTCCTCGTAGAATGAAAGCTTATTATGGATGGTTGCCTAGTTAGCCAGATGTTTAGACTCAATTTGTCATTTTTATCTGCCTCCAAGGACCTGAGAGAGGCAGATGTGGATGTTATGAGGTGTTCAAAATGTCTTCACAGGATGAAAGCTTATTCTTATTATGGTTGGTCGCACAGTCAGCCAGATGTTTACACTGGTTTGGGCATTTTTGCCTACCTCTGGAGGCCTTCCCAAAGACCTGGGATAGACAGATTCTTTAATATTGAAGGTCTCATCCGCAGGATGTAAACTGTTCCAAGCACGGCTGCCTTTTGCAATTGACCAAGGAGGATTTTGTCAATACTGATAGTACAGTATTACTGTATATTATTATGGTTCCTTGCAAGGTCAGCCAGATGTTTAAACTGGATTTGGCATTTTTATCTACCTCTCAAGTCCTTCCTAAGCATCTGGGATAGGCCAGATGTTCTTTGATGGTGCTAAAGGACAAAAACTGTTCCAAGTTAAAGCTATCTTTTGCAAATTCCTGCTGGGGATTTTGTCTATTATTGATTATTGTTATTATTTATGATGATGTCCCACCTTTTTTATATAGTCACTTTCAACGTGAGATAAGTGATATATAAATTTAATAAATGTCTATGGATATTCTCAGTCATTTGGATCATGGTTGTCCCAAAGGTGCATTTTTCAAGAGGAAACTGGATTTTTTGGACTAGAAGGTTCAGTCAATAAATAAATATATAGCTCAAGGCACCAAATGTACCTATATTTTCCATCCCTTATTTTTTCCACAACAAGCATGCTTTGTTTATTGGTTTACAGAAGACTAGAGAGGCAATTTGGTTGTGGCTAAAGCACCAGGCTAGAAATCAGGAGATGGTGAGTTCTAGTCCTGCCTTAGGCACGAAAGCCGTCTGGGTGACTTTGGACCAATCACCAGGAGACTGGGAGTTCTAGTCCCACCTTGGGAACGAAAGCTGGTTGGATGACCTTGAACCGGTCCCTCACTCTCATCCCAATTCATCTCATAGGGTTGTGGTGGGGAAAATAGGAAGAGGAAGGAGTATTTATGTAGGTTTAGTGTCTTGATATAAACAAGAATAATAAAGATGGGAAGGAGAGAGAGAGAGAAAGAAAAAGATTCCTGGCCCAGTAGCGATCTAATACAATGCCCCTCAACTTACAACCACAATGGAGCCCAAAATTTCTATTAAGTGAAACATTTGCTAAGCAGGTTTTGCCCTGTTTTACAACCTACTTTGCCACAGTTGTTAAGTTAATCATTGCAATTGATCAGTTAGTAACATGGTTGTTAAGTGAATCTGGCTTCCCCCTTGATTTTGCTAGTCAAAAGGTCGCAACAGTGGATCACAGGAAACAGCAACAGTCGTAGGTATGAACCAGTTACCAAGCGTCTGAATTTTGACCACATGATCATAGGGATGCTACAAAGTTTGCAAGTTTGAAAAACGGTTGTAGGTCCCATTTTTTTCAGTGCCAAAACTTTGAATGGACACTAAATGAACTGTTGTAAGTCAAGGACTACCTGTATGTGAATGGCCACCTCTGGTGATTGGGGGGGGGCACGTAAGGGCAGCAAATGAGTGAATATGTACCCATCAGGGTTTGACTGCTCTTGGTTCTTAGAATAGAGTTGGAAAGGGACCTTGTAGGTCATCTAGTCCAACCCGCCCCCCCCCAAGCAGGAGACCCTACATTATTTCTGACAGATGGCAGTCCAGTCTCTTCTTGGAAGCCTCCAGTGATGAAGCTCCCACAACTTCTGATGAGCCTATACTATTTCCTCAGTGGAAGTTGATTTTTCCCCCCTGCTGCCCCCACATGCAACATCATCTCAGGTGTGGTGATTGCACCCTGGTCTTCAAGAGCTCATAAAGCTGCTTGTGGACATGGCAGTTGTCTAGAATTGCAGAATCCAAGAAGCCACTCTGGTGTCAGGGCGAAGGTGCAGACCTAGAAAGCAAGAGGCCTCTCCTCGCATGAAAGCCCGCGGGGTGATTTTGTGTCGGTCCTCACAGAGTTGCTGTTCTCCTTAGCCTGGGAAAAAGAGCCAGTAGGATGAGTTATATTTTCCCACCGTATTTGAAAAGGTGGGATTAAAAACATAACCACCGATAACGGCTTTTTAAAAAAAAAATTAAAAATGAAGCCCCTGGCACAAGGACACAGTTGGCCTCCCAGAGTTGTGGTTCCTCCATCACAGAGGATTTTGAAGAAAAAAAATTGGACAGCCATTTGTCCAAAATGGTGTGAGGACTTCTGCCTTGGGAGCTACCAACACAGTGTGTAAAGTAGAGGTGTAACGTGCAATTCTTGTAAGACGCATAACTGCCCGTAGGGCCGCATTTTGCACTACCTGAAGCTTCTGAATACTCTTCAAGGGCAGCCCCCTGTACAGCATATTACAGGAGTCTATCCCGGAGGTGACTGGGGCATGAGTGACGATGCGTAGAGCCTCCCAGTCTAGGAATGAAACTGTGCAAAGGCCCTTCTGGCCATAATTCTCTTGAGTTGGAGACCAGAAGAACCCCCACATTGTTGTAAGCACCTGAAGGATTCTTTTAGTCACTGGCCTATCCATAGTACAGGCAGACCTCGACTTACAACCGCTATTTATTTTGTTACTAGCTCGATACCCATGCTTCGCTACGAAACTATGTGGTCGAGCTTGGATTTTGGGGAGGAAAATAAAGAGAAAAAAATTGTGCCTCTGCCCACCAGCAGCCATTGGTATTCATCTGGCTAGCATCCTGTCAGTGTGTGAGAGAGTTCACGGCTGTTTGGAAACTGAAACAGTATTTGCTGTGTGAGCAAGAAGACAGCAAGGAGCCTGGGCGTGGCTTAGCTCAACTGTTCTGTACTAAAGCTGCTTGTTGCTCTGAAACTGAAACAAATTCCTCTGCTTGTGTTTTGCATTTGGAAGAGATTTCTTTTCAGGGGGGGAGCGGGAGTAGAACTCCTTAGCATCAGAGCATGATATAATAATAATAATAATAATAATAATAATAATAATAATAATAATAAT